CTGGACCTGGGCTGCTGCATGCAGTGGGCTCGGTTTTGGTTGCAGGTGCTAATTGGGCTCTTTTCCTCCCTCCTCTCTCAGCTCTACCTCTCAGCAGTCTCACAGCTCCAAGAATTGAAGTTTTCTCTTGCTGTCTGAGGACTACGGCTGGCTGGAGGTTTCTCTTCCCCAAATCTCTGCTGTCTTAGGTTTCTCTTTCCCAAACCTCTGCTGTCTTCCTGGCTTGACACAAACATATCTTTGCTTTCAGTTTCCTTTTTATACAACAAACTCTCCAATTAAGGAGAGGGTGGGGCCGTTTTAACCCTCCTTCCCTGGTAGCGCCAAAACTCTGGATCCCAGGAGGGGAAAAAATGCCTGCTCACTCCCAGTGGTGAGTTCACTGCTCCACAAAGGTCTCCATATCACCTTATGCCATATATGTGTTCATCTGGGAGTGGAGACAGGGGAGGGTGCAGGTCAGTAAGGGCATGGTAAAGGGATCTTCTAGCTAACTTGAATGCTTTCACATTCCCAGGCTCTGATGAAATTGTAAGGAATGGTTGGAATAACTGCCTATTTTGCTTCTGTATTTCAAGCTTTTGCTAACCTATTGAGAGTCAGACTAGATGGTATTAAGGAAAGAAAAAATGTTTTTTTGCAAGTAGAGATAAAAAGTTACACATGAGAGCTATGCTACAGAGGTGTGAAAGGAAATGGAAAGATGTGGTTAAACTAATGTCTCGCTTTCAAGCTCCTGGACGCATTTCCTGAGCATGCATAAACCTTTGCACCTATTCTTGTTTAACCACATTATGTAACCACATCCTCTGCAATAAGTTAGTTTCTTAGCCAAAAACTTAGCAATGCTTTATGACCCCCGGTAGCAAATGAGAACTAATAACTTAACGATTGGTTTATGCTGCTTAAGCTAATGCTTTGACAGCCTTGGAAGGCGGGCACACGGGTGTGTGTGTGTGTGTGTCCCTCCTCCTAGATGTTTCCTGATGACAAAAAGGGATAAAAGCTCTTGCAAACTGTTCTAGGTGTGGCTGTTCTCTGTCTTTTCTCTGCCAGCTGGACAGAGAGTGGTCCATGCTGCTTTGCTTCTGGCCAGAAATAAAAGCTGTATTTGCTTTGGAAGAACCTCTGTCTGGAGTCTCATTGGAAATTATGAAATCCAGGCTAGCGAACCTTACAAAATAATCCCCCAAACACTGAAGGGACTGGCTGAAGACCTGTCAGGACCTCTGTCAATTATCTTTGGGAGCGTCTGCAGAACTGGAGAAGAGCAAATGTGGCCCTCCTCTTCAAGAAAGAACAAAAAGAAGATCCCAGTAATTATTAACTAGGAGCCAATACCTGGAGGAGATGTAATAAAGCAGGCCATCTGTAAACCATCTTGAAGACAATGCCAAGATTGCTAAGAGTTAGCATGGCTCTCACAAAAATTAGTCACGTGAAGCAAATCTCATCTTGACAGTGTAAGTTCTTCAATGGACGAGGGGCATGCTATGAATACAAGTCACCCGCGGAGGTAGAAGGGGCGGGGAGGGGGCAAAGAAAGGGCAACACCAAGTGTCTTCTCAGGATGTTTTGCGCCGGGTGAACCCCACTGGGAGAGCTAAGCGGCTGGAGACTCCCCCACCACCCGCGGCGGCGGCACAAAGCAAGGAGCGGCTCAACTAAGCAGATACTTCCGGGTTCAGCGGAAGCGGGAGACTGACGCAGCGTCTCTTTTAACGGCGCCAGGGCGGGAAGCAAACGCTCCGCCAAGGAGCGTCCAGGCCTCGGCGTCCATTCTCCGGCCCTTACCGTTATCCGGGAAGCGGAAGCAAGAGCGACC